GTAAGCTCTCATGATGTTGTTGATATGATGAAGAATGTCACAATTGATTTGAATGAGATTAACATACGACAACGATTTCTTTCTATAATCCTTTTGGGATTTGTAATCCCATTTTAAAGAGAAATCATATTAGCTATATCTCTAATGGTCATAGATGGGTAATTTATTCAGCAAATTACCTACTTACACCGGTAACCTATCGTAGAGAAGTATAGGTCACCCATCAGTATTCTTCATCCAATTCAGGAACATTTTGAACGATACATATTTGAATCTTACAAGTTATATGATTTACATATTTCTTCTAGATCCAAATAACACTAATATCTTTCTATAGATTTTTTATCTGATCACTCAAATATTGAATGTTACTTCTTTAATAAGTAGTAATTTGTTATAACTTAGTAGTTTGTTCTAGTTGAAGACAGATTGATTAATTCAATAGGCAATAAACATTAATTTTGTTTTAGTTAATATTAAGTATAAGTTTAGTTATTAGATAATTATGATGCACATCAACAGATTAAACATATACAATAAAGATATAGTCTGAATAATAAAAAAATGACAATATAATATAAACTTATAAATTTAAATGTGAATGCATTAGGTATTCTATAGTTTGTCAGCAATGCTTCTTTTAAATGTTGAATGATAAATGATATTTCACTAAACGATCTATTCAACTACAAATAACTGTAATGTCCAAATTTGAGATTTTATTGAATAAATTAAGTAATATACTGAGCTTTAGATTTCATATCTAATCTATATATATATATATATATATATATATATATATATATATATATGTCGACGTGTAAACTTAAACACTAAGGGTGATATATCAGATAATGAAAGAAATGATTGACCAAAATGTGTTACAATATACAAAATTATATAATATTATTTTATAGAATGATTCATTTCTCATAAATGAAATATTGAGTAGAAAATACATTGGTGTTTTACATTGCAAATTAATTCTATTTCGATATTAAAAGGTGAGAAGTGTTCAGAAAGAAACACTGAACTTAGGTCTTGTTTGATTTGACATTTTCATGTAAGGTTTGTCTGAAATCTAATGAAAAGTGGTATTTGTCTATTCATCTGAACCCATTTCACTCAGTATCACCCTTAGAAAAGTGACAATAGAGTTATTTGATGAACTGTCAAAGAGGTTCTTCGAAACTAAGATTCCAAAATGAATGATATATTATCTCGTCTTTGATTGCAACCTAATTCCATCAATCAGATTGGAATATATTCACTAACCCAAGTGAGGGGATTTGTTTCACAACTCTTTCTCGACTATCAACAATCAACATTTATATAAAAATGATGAGATTAATAAACTTAGTGACGTCTTTAAGATATATGCGCATGTGATCAGTTAAAACAAATCTATCAGTTAATTCTCCATTAGTTCGATATGTAACAGTTTCAAATCTAAAGGTTACAGTTAAATATGAGGTTATAAGAAAGAGATTGTAACTAATCGACTGCTGAAATACTTTTTACTAGAGTAAATCTATCGTACTAATGAAAAAATATGGGAAGATTTTAGTAGTTTTATGCTAGAAGGTATATGTAACGAGATATAGGAAACGGTAGACTGCATAATCTAAATATACAGAAGTAAAAAAAGTTCTTCATTTTGAATCATATTTTATGGAATCAAGACAAAATTTCATAAAGATTTATCAAAAGAACTGAGATTCATTGCAATAAAACTATTTTTAGTATAAATCATACAAATGAGCTAAAATTGGACGATCACTATTTAAATTGACAAATTTCAGTGTACCTATAGAAGTAAGCTGTGAATCATCTGGAGGAAGATTCAATGTTGATAAATGAAATATCCCAACTGTCAATGGATGTAGAATGTAAAATTGTTATCCTTAAACAAGTAACAGACACTCATTTCTACTACATTCTTTACATAGTTTAATTACATCAAAACCATTTTATCTGAAAGATGTCTAAATTTTTTTGATTATTCTATCAATCATATTTCACTTGCACTGATTTATTAGGTTTAATTCGTTAAATTTATTTCATTCTTATTATATTTACTTTACCTATTGAATGTTTTTGTTCATTGTTCGTAAATCCCTAGTTCCTTATTCATGACTCTAAAACTTTTCAATGCGACTGCGTATCAAATAAAATAGTTATAAGTTTATAAGGACATCTTTGAAGTTAGCAAAGTAATGGCGGAAATGAAAACATACAATCTGACTGTGTTTGCAATAAGTTAAACCAATCAGACACAAGCTGGACAAAAAAACTAGCTTTGAGAGAGATGATGCTGTGTTATGATCATGAAGAGAACAATGCATTGCATGCACTAAAGGTTACACTGATGCTGTTTAAATAGGCATGAAAGCGATTATAAAATCAAACCTTACTTAAAAATAAAGAGGAATGGGATTGCAATGAATCTCATCTAGTGTCCACCAACAATAGAAGTGAAAACGATTAATATCAGGAAGTCAACAATCTATTGAACTTTTGCAGTGGTGATATAGTTGACGGTGACTGACAGTGATATATATATATATATATATATATATATATATATATATATATATATATATATATATATATATTGTTTTGAGCTGACAAGATATCACACATTTGAAGTTTACACTTAAGCCTCTATGTTTAATCTCATATTAGGTAGTAGGTACACAATTCTGACGGTCCTCACGAGGAAAAGACAACTTTCCAGTACTTCATAGTTCTCTGTAGATCTCCAATTGTTATCAGTCTTCAAAATAACTTACACAACCTACCCAGTGAGATGTAATAATTCGACGATAGTACTTTTAGTAAAACGAGATCTCACTTATTGCAGTTTAATCATTCTAGACAGCATAGTTTGACGAGATTCATCACTTACACGTAGTGGAAATAAAAAAGGGATGAGACTATAGTCTATGGACGACCTTTGAGCGACGCTAAAGTGGCAATGCTGACTAGTGTTGGAGACAGCTGGAAGAAATTTAGGGGTGGCCAAACCAAAACTTGGAACCAGTCATTGAAATCATTTACTTCTAGTCTGAGCCAGATTGATAGATTCAGACTACTTGGATGGGGTCCGCGTGACTATTGTAACCAATGGTTGAAAATCCTTGGTAACATGGTTCAGAATTGACCACAATGTCGTAAATGTATAGACTCTTTGTCTTCTTCTAAACTGTGAGATTAAAATTACTTCATACTTTTCTTTCTACGAACTCATTCTTTCTCCCTATAGTGTATCCTTTTACATACATATTCTTTTACATATTACTACCATTGAAGTAATTACTTCTATTAATTTGGTATCCATCTTGTTGTGCTAATGAGGCATGGCAACTTGGACCCATTCATATATGTGCCTGGTCCTACGTTGTAGCTGAGTGACTGACGCTAAAGTGATTTTAAGAATGTTCACCTACTTACCAGAGGTAACATGTGGGTTATGAAGCAGTGTAAAGAATAAGGATTATGATTTACCATTGATGGTCAAGGTAAGGAATTAGATATATGGTTTTCATCAAGAACTAACATCAGCTAAAATGCCAAAACGCTAGCTGGACAAATGAATGAATGAATTTCGCGTCAAAATCCTAGACCTGTTGTCTTAAATGTGATTGTTTCGTCCATAAATTATAGTCTGGCCGAAATAGGAAGTTCATTCACTAACTTAAGGACTATCAAAGTTAAAGATGAAATTATAAGAATCATTTCTCAACTATTAACTTGAAGTTTGATTCTGAATGAAGTTCAGTACTAGAATCAGAATTAACACCCATGGTTACTTTAATTTTAGACATTTTTAAGCATCAAATAACAGCTCGATATTTAGTTAGTTAGATAGGAGACTAATCTAAACTGACAAGACAGACTTTCGTGATCACTGAGCGCTAGACAATATTTATTTGACTCCTAGTTAGTGGTTCATTAATGTAATTGATGCCTGAGGGAAGTCGAGATCTAAATAGCCTAAGAGTAACATTTTTTAATAAAGTGTCGTATATGAACTCATCGGGTATTATAGAGGTCACAGATCCTGATTGGCGGTGACTGTTGACAAATATGAAACCAGAATTCAATATTTCTTGTTGATCGTTTCGAACTGTTTAACATTAGATTTAAATAAAAGTGATGAATAACATAATTTGTTCTTTAGTCAAATCAAGAAGATATAAACTTGTTTTACATAAGCGACTGTGATTTGCCGTAGATTATACACTATCCATAACAGAAAGTTGAATTTTATGAAATCTGAAATGGACCGATAGAACTAACGCAAATATTATTCTGAATGCCTATCGAGAATAGTAGCACTCTAGGATTTCTCATACCGATGAAGTCAGATATTCAATTAAATAATACAGATCTTAAGATTTTGAACCCGGTAATGGATTCATGCTTCTGCGGAGTCCCGTACTAAGACGAACCAATTCTCCAGTGCTTCCTGGCTTTTAATAACCGTGTAGCTAGATCCATTCATTGATGTAAAGCCACAAATTAAACATTATTTAAGCAATTGTTATAAACCAATGAGTAATAAATGAAGTTTGCTTAATTCTATTCCAGAATTACTTGAGATTTATAATTTATGTGTTAAAAAATGAGAATATCAACTTTAACCAACAAATATCATTAAATGACTTGTTGTTTAATCTTATGCACGAGAACATTAACTTGATTGCATCATGCATGTACTATTATCAGAATCTAAATTTATTTTTCATCAGGTCAGTTACAATTAAATCATACTCAGAAGTTAAGGTACTTCTAATGACTGAGACACAGGACTAACCAATAACACATTGTTGGAAACATCCAAAACAGAAATTCTAATCAGGTTTTATTACGACAAGATAATAATTAGTAAAAGGTAATTACAGGTTGTCCAATTTTTTGTATTTATCATGTTCTATCGACTAAAATTTACAATATAATCATTGAAATTCATTACTTCTTTTCACAGCATATATTTTATGACATTATTTGATACTACTACTACTACTAATATTACTACTACTACTACTACTACTACTACTAAAACTATTACTACTACTACTACTACCACTACTACCACTACTACTACTACTACTACTACTACTACTACTACTACTACTACTACTACTACTACTACTACTACTACTACCACTACTACTACTACTATTATTTACTTTACTTACTTACTTACGCCTGTTACTCCCAATGGAGCATAGGCCGCTGACCAGCATTCTCTAACCCATTCTGTCCTGGGCCTCCTTTTCTAGTTCCATCCAATTATTGTTCATTTTTCTCATGTCTATCTCCATTTCCCGGCGTAATGTGTTCTTTGGTCTTCCGCTTTTCCTTTGACCTTCAGGATTCCATGTGAGACCTTGTCTTGTGACGCAGTTGGGTGCTTTCCTCAATGTGTGTTCTATCCACTTCCAGCGCTTCTTCCTAATTTCTTCCTCCACCGGGATCTGGTTTGTTCTTTCCTACAGTTGGTTGTTGCTAATAGTGTCCGGCCAACGGATCCGAAGTATTTTGCGTAGACAATTGTTACTAAACACCTGTATTTTCTGGATGATGGCTTTCGTAGTTCTGCAGGTTTCTGCCCCAGTAGACAGTAGAACTGTCTTGACATTTGTATTGAAAATCCTGACATTGGTGTTGGTTGACAGTTGCTTTGAGTTCCAGATGTTCCTCAGTTATGAATATGCTGCTCTTGCTTTGCCGATCCACGCCTTCACATCTGCATCAGATCCACCCTGTTCATCAATGATGCTACTACTATAGTTAATAATAATAATAACAATAATAATAATAATAATTTATATAATAATTATAAATTATTATCCGTTATCATCATGAAGTTCATCATTGCTTCAATGCATTATCATACCATTACATAAGAAGCAAATCTAAATAACATACCATTCTCACATTGGAAAAATTATATACTTTCTTATGATCTCCATTTATTCTTGTTAACCAGTGGTAAGTAAAATTGTTTACATTGATTTCTTTCAACTAATCAAACCGTTGTTAATGATGGTTTTTAGTTTGTGTGGGTTTGTGAGAATGGCTTAGTTACATAGAATTATCTGTCAACAAATATATGAATTAATTAAATTCATTATTCTAAATAAAAGCAGCGAAAAATCAACATTGTGTAAATAAATTCTTGAATGTTAATTGTGATAGAATGACAAAGTTTGTTTGAATTGGATCAAATAATAAGCAAAAAAAAGAAAAACAGTTTTCATGTTTCTTATCTGGTTTATATTCCTTTCATATGATTTCTGTAAATCAGTATGCAATAAAAGACCAAAAAATTTAATTAATGTTTAGTTTCTGAATACAATATATCAGTAACTGCAAGTATCCTTCACATTCTATTCAGGAAGATTTGAGAGGAGAAACAAGTACCGAGATACTGGTAAGAAGCATACCATCAAGATACCAAAGAAACGAAATCTGAGAAAATGTTAAAACTACACAGGCATAACACTATTATCGATAACAGGAAAGGCTTACAACCGAGTGTTGCTGAACTGGATGAAAGGTTCAGTAGACGTCCAGCTTTCAGATCAGCAAGTCGGATTCCGTAAGGATCGGTCGTGCACACACCAAATCGCAACACTACGGATCGTCGTTGAACAATCAATTGAATGGAACTGGTCACTGTACATCAACTTCACTGACTATGAGAAAGCATTTGACAGTGTGAATAGAAGAATATTGTGAAAACTTATTTGGCACTATGGAGTGAGTACATGAAGAGATCGTCAATATCATGCGGAATTTATACGACAGACTACACTGCAAATTCGTGCATGGAGGGTAGCTGACAGATGCATTCCAAATGATGACCGGAGTCAGACAAGGCTGCTTACTGTCTCTCCCAGCTTTCTCTTTCTTCTGGTGGTTGACTGAATTATGAGGACCTGTACATGTGAAGGGAAGCATGCAATATAAAGGACAGGTTGGATGGAACTAGACGAATTTTAGTTGGCAAATGACCTGGCACTTCTATCCCATACACACGAATATATGCAGTTGAATAAAACCAGTGTGGCAGAAGCCTCTGCATCAGTAGACCTCAACATACACAAGGGAGAAAGCAAGATCCTCAAGTGCAACACAGAGAACACCAACTCAATCACACTTGATGGAGAAACTCTGTAACAGGTGGAATGTTTCACGTCGTTGTACAGCATGATCGATGAACAAGGAGGATCGTATGCAGACGTGAAGGCGAGGATTGTCAAAGCGAGGGTGGCATCCCTACATTTGAAGAACATATGGAACTCAAAATAATTGTCAACCAATATCAAAGTAAGAATTTCAATACGAACGTTAAGACAATTCTAACTTGAAGAACTATTATAAACATCATCAACAGGTACTGATGGTGAACAAGAACCCAAGTGGAGATCATTGAACGTTTTACAGAACATGTCAGTAAAATCTGAGAACCATACATTAAATACTTCATTTGTAAATTGTCAATCAGTCGTCTCAAATTTCACTGTTCCTTCATTTACACAGCGATCCTTCTTTGCTCTTGTTCTTTTTTCTTTGATTTTCTTAGCCTTCTGCCTCCAGACATTTCACTTTCTATTAATGATACATACTTCTTATATCTGTCGACATTAGTAGCACACACCACAGTAAAAGTATTTATAAACAGTTTTCTACACAATATACTCAACGTCCGTTGACCAGATTTTTTAGCAACAGCCAGCTGTAGGAGAGGATAAACCAACTTCCTGCTGAGAAGGATATTAAGAAAAGACTTTGGAAGTGGATAGGACATACTTTGAGGGAATCATCAAACAACATCACGAGCCAAGCGCTGACTTGAAATCCTGTGGTGAAAAGGAAAGGTGGAAGGTCAAGAAACAGATTGCGTCGGGAATTCGAAGCAGACATGGAAAGATAGAATATCGACTGGGAAAAAGTGAAAAGGATGGTTTGATGGAGAATGCTGGTGGGCAGTCTATGCTCCTCCACTAGGGATAATAGGAGTAAGTAAGTTCTGAATACAATGTTCCATTTTGGTTATTATCTCTGCGGATCAAATAATTTGAGCAGAATAAAGATAGACTGAAATTGTACAAGTTAAGTGAATGTTTATTAAGGCAGTTTTGTGAAGAATTTGGAAATATTAAAAGTAAATATCGTTTATGATTAGTTAAAATCAAGTAATATCAGTTTACATCAGTTCATTTCAAGAAGAATCTTTTAAACATAGAATTAAGCTAGTTTGAATTTGGATAACAAATAATCGGTAACATTCAATGAGAGCTGTATCCCACTATCTACACGTTTTGGAGGATTGTGAATAGCATTACTAAGAAATCTTAGACCGTTATCAAAAGATGACGATTTAGCTCTTTCCTAATTTTAAATTGTTCAGTTTACTTTTTCTAGTGATAGGAATTACTACTATCAGCCGATCTATTAAAAAGAGGAAAATATTTGCTTAGATCACGTTTTTTTCCAAAAGATAGTGTTATTTTCTGTCATTATTGTGGATGAGATTTTGTACATTTAAAGGCTTATGCATTTAATGTTGATTTGATCGATTTTGTAAAGGTCGATAAAGTTATTATCTCTTTAATTTATCATAATAATATTACTTAATGATATTTTGTAAAGTGCATAAAACTTATAACTAATTACCGCTAGTGACATAATTAACTGCATTTTGAATCAATTTTGGTGTAAATTTATTAAAATGCCAATGATTAGCAACTTACTCTGTACTTTTAAGAAGAGTAAACTTCCTAAATTCACTTGATGTTGTTTTACGTGTATCTTCGCATTGTTATTTAGGACTGCAACTAATCAGTTTCATGTTGGCAAATGTGCATTCTGTGAGGATTACCTCGATATAGCTTTAAGTCACAATCTTTTTAAGCAAAGATGGATAGCTGCTATCAGTCGAATCCAGGACTCGCGTTTCATCCTGGTTCGTGTATGTGAGATAAACGAAACCTATTGTAAAAGATATTGATTATTAATAAAAACAAAATCAGTTCAAGTAGAGCAAATATACTCATTTTTTTACTTTCATTTAAAACTTGAGTTTATTGAATTTTTTTCATATTTTCAGTTCACTCATTTTATCAACCATCAATTAATAATTGTTTCAACTATAGTTTTAAACAGATTCTGGCTTAGCAGTATTACCTATTGTAGTCAAACATAATAACTGTAAACAAAAAAATCCCACACACTTATTGTTGTTCATTACTCTTTCAGTAACCATTGTCACTGTTCTGTATATAGCTATCCCAGCGTGGCTACACAAAGGTTTGATGAAGAAAGTGAACAACTCGATATTAGCTCATTTAGTACAAACTGGTCATAGCGCCAGTATAAACCAACCTTTTTCAATTATTTATAAAGTCAATAAATTTTTGCCAAAACTTGTCGGACTTAAAGTCCTTCAAACGGCTGAAGCAGTAGCCATCCGAATGAAGACACCGGAGCTATGCATCCTCCTCACCTGGCCAACCTCAAGGCCAATTAATCAATAGTAATCTTAGTTATTGAATGACCTAATTTGACTATTGTACTTACGACTTTTCGTAGTCAATTGCAATTTTCTCTGTTATCTTTATTCACAAATCTTTGTATTATTATTATTACTATTGGTTAAACATCATTATTAATCTCCCTTATACATAATTCATTCGCTTCACGTTCATCCCTCCTTATGACGCCTTACTAATTTTTCACACAATATAGCATTCAGATAGCCAGCAGGTACATTCAACTGATGAGTCCCAAATAAGACGAAACGCGCGTCAAACTGGATTCCACTGTTAGCGACTAACCATCTTTGCTTAAAAAGATTGTGACTTAAAGCTATATCGAGGTAATCCTCACAGAATGCATATATGCCAACATGAGACTGATTAACTGGAGTCCTAAATAACAATGGGAAGATACAAGTAAAACAACATCAAGTGGATTTAATATAACCTTCCACTAAACATTTGATCGAACTGTAATTGCACTATTATTTCTATCACACTATCCAACCCATATTTATTCTGATCATGGATCTTAAATTTCACTTAACAAATATGCAGATTCAAGTTAACATTCTATTTGAGTCATATCAACATTAAAAATTTTATTGTATTTTGTCTAACAATCCTAAATTAACATGCTTTAAACTATGTACTTTACCCTTACCCTGGTTATTTTTTCGGATTAT